AACGCTGCTACCAGCCGCCCTGCAACCTGCAACGGGGGTTATATGGTCATTCTCTGTATTTATTTTATCTAGACGATGTTTTGGATCTTATAACAAAAGCAGTTAACAATAGAAAATAAACTATCGTAACCATGGTTTTGAATTGAAAACAATTGCAAAAAAAACAAGTTTTAAGACTGTTTGACAAACAATATTCAATCTACAATCTGCGCGGGTTCTTTTTTTTAAATTCTTAAGCAAAGCATAAGGGTGGGGTGTAGTCACGGTGTTGCCCCGTTACAGTCTTTTGTCATGTCCAAAGAGCAAATTCTATGGCAGGCCCCACGCCGTAAGCCTTAGTTTACTTAAATATGGAAACTGATTTACCGGTCACATTATTTCTTTGATTATGTTCTTCAGTGAATTGCGAGACTAAAATGGTCGGGCCGCAGGCTTGACCATCGCCGCCTGCAGGCCAAGCGGGCCCAGCCCCTGCTTTACGGAGTTGTCGGCGCAGCGAAGTCGAGCTGGCAACTCCGTTTGGCTGAAGGGCGGGCCTGCTTGTGAAACCCTTGCCCGCCGAGGATAGAGCCCTTTGTAGCCGCGGTTCTAAATGTGTGCTCAGACTCTGGGACCACCTCGGTGGAAACGAACTTCTCTTTAAACACGTCGAAATGGTTTCTAGCATACATGGAAGCAGGTACGCCGTCGTTGTTTCCAAGTTTGTAGAAACCGTCCTCCGTGGCCTCGAGAACAACCGCAACCACATTTCTGGGGTCCCCTCGACCTCTGTCCGCCTTAGGAACGTACACAGTGGTTGTATCCCCGACGGACGCGGGAGGAAGCTTGACGTCCGAAATCTTCTGCATGGTCTGCGCCTGCTCCTGAAGATCCTTCCTCGCTGTCGACCTCACCTCCAGCACAGCAGCAGCCCGTGAGCAATTGCCACACTTTCCACCCCTCGGACAGTGCGGGTGCAGCCCCGTGCCGCACTCGCTGCATCCTTCATGCGCGCTGCAGGTCTCTCCACACTGGTTGCAAGAGAACGGCGAAACAGCCAAATCCCCGTTGTGAGCTGCTGGGGGGACTTGGGGTGCTGCAGGCCATCAGGAGTGGTCTGCAGGGCTGACGTGGACTGGCGAAGAGGTGTTTTGAGGATGGAGCGCGGTGCCGACTGGAGTACTGGGGCAGGAGTAGTTCATGTGCCGGGCTGGACAGGTGGTGAGCCGGTGAGCAGGTGGACTGGGGCACCTCGCCGTGGAGTCATCGGGGAGGGCTGCGACGCTCCTCCTGCCGCTTCGTCTTAGCTGGCCTGCTGAACAGTAAGTACAGGTTTGAAGTTCAAAGTCCAGGTCCGGATAATTTCTAAGGTAAGTAACTGATGTTTACTTACCGTCATTGGCGAATCTGCGTTGCCAAAGTGCATTACCCTTAGGAAGTCCTGCAGCTCCTCTTCAGTCTGCAGATCATCCACTGCTCCAGATGGGAACTTGGAGCGAAGGCCCACTTTCATTGGGCTCCCGAACATCGCCTCATAGGGGGAGATCCGGAGTGCCCTTATGAATGGCACGGTTCTTCGCGCACTGGATGAATCGCAGACCCTGAGACCACTTGGTGGACCGGTCCTGCATCATCCATGCAGTCAGCATATCTTGAACACCTTGACTAGCGCGTTCCACCGAGCCCTGCGATTGAGAGTGCCTCGGCTTCCCGTGCACAATTTTCACCCCTTCCCATTTGGCCTGGAATGCAGTAGATAGTTAAGGAATGCAGTTCAATAGTACTAGAGCTACTGAACCGGTTCCGGATCAGCCCCTAATTCGGATTAACTGTCTGTAGTTTCAATGCAGAACTAAAATTTGGGTGCCTTAATTGTTTTGCTGAAAGAACGGACCTTCCGTCTTTTAAATCGCGAACAATAAGCTGGGTGCGGAGAGTGGAGTACAGGATGAGTATGATCTAAAAGAAGTATGTTTTAAGGGTTGCACTGCAAAAAAATTTAACAGGTAATGCGGCTAATTCATTTTCCAGAAATGTCTGTTATTCGAATAACAGCATCGCTGTAGTTTTAATGGTTAAAATTTGGTACAGGGAGCTATGTTCAGGACCACTGTACAGGCAAAAGCGAACAAAACTGTCTACAGTGGAACCGTCTTCGTACACTGTACCATGTAAAACCTGGGCTTTCCGGTGCTACAGCAACACTGTACTCCGCGTTCTGTACCCTAGGTGCAGTGGCTCAGAGCGGCATCTACAGTAACGCTGTAGATCGTTCCGTATCAGACTTTACTTTTTTGCAGTGTGGGAGAATCTTGAAAAATTGACATTTTTTAAAACTGAAATATGAACATGATAACACTTTCCATGTGTCGAACCTAAGTGAAAACATTATTTTAGGGTACTCAAAGTAGCCTTTTATGGTATCGAATGATTTTTAATGGGTCTATTGACGATTTGACTGTGCCAGTATTTTCGCTGCTGATCCGAATTAGGTTCACAAGTCACTGATGATCTGACAGAGGGACGTAAGTCCATCACTCTTAATTTTCCAAGACGAGGAAAAAACTTCCAGAATTTTTGGGCACTCTAGATATTTGTTATATGAATACATAAATAAACTCCTTATTCTGATGCATTTTGACTCATAATAGCAGATTTTTGGTGCTGGTAATATATAGGGAGAAAGACGGACTTACACCCTATGTGACATCAATGTTTTTCAGAACAAAGGGCGCAAGTCCATCATTTTCAGGACCAAAAGACGTAAGTCCATGCAAGTCCATATGTTTTCTGAAAGCGGGGCCCAAGTCCACACTGTGGACTTCTTACGAAGAAAAATGCCAAATCCTTTGTAATACGAAGGATTTGGACGCTTCGTAAGGAGAAAATCCTTCGTAGGTACGAAGCATTTGGCATTTTGCTTCGTAAGACTTTAACTGTGCACCAAGTTTCAGAAATGATTGGGCTTGGGCCATCAAATGCCAATAAACACAATTACACCCTGCCATCTGAATACCACTTAATATACACTTTGCCACTTATTTGCCTCTTGTGCGCTGAGCGGAAGTAGAATAACAAAAGCGGAAGGTGGAAAGGCGCCCGGGCTGTCCCCCTCTCCTCCACTGGGCGGAGTGGAGCGCCCGGGAAGAAGTATAGGGCAGGCGGAGAGGAGTGCGGGCGCCTTTCCATCTTCCGTTTTAGTTCTTCTACTTCCGCTCTAGACCACACTCTAAATGTCAAGGACAATTTTTGTAACTAGCACCGGACTTCTGCGTGCATAACTGAATTCAGATACAATATTGTGACTTGCTAGTCACTAAATGTGTGTTGGTAGTTACAATATTGTATCTGAGCAAGTTATGCACGCAGAGGTTCGGTGCTAGTTACAAAAATTATCCTTGGACGTTTAAGAGTGCAAAACCCTATTCAGATGAAGAGTCTCTCTTGCGTTTCTTACTTTCTTTGGAATTTTTCATAGCCTTGCTTACCGTTTTAGTAAATTTTTAGAATTAAGAATTGATTTTGGTCAAATTCTGAAATGTAAAAGAATTATTTTCAATGTGGTCAGACAAGTTCAAAAAGTGAAGGAAATAAGGTCTAGATGAATAACATTCTAGCTGGGATTGTTAAAACCCTTTCATTTTCATTTTCTTATGGTGTCATTGTGTTTATTGGCATTTGATGGCCTAAGTCCAATCTTTTGTGAAACTGGGTGGACTTGTGCCCCGTTTTCTGAAAACATATGGACTTGCGTGGACTTGCGTCCTTTGGTCCTGAAAATGATGGACTTGCGCCTTAGTTTCAGAAAACGCTTGGACTTCCGTCCTTTTGTACATTGCTGTACAGTGCTAACTATGGCATGTAATCTGAAACCGTCTTGACTGGTGTGTGTATCATACAGTATAGGTTCTAAAAAGCAATAACTAATTTTCCCCAACTTGTGGACTTGCGTCCCTCTGTCAGATCATCAGTGAAGTCCTATTTCGGATCATAAACACGTCGTTCGGCCAACTCTTATATCTCCGAAACGGGTGCAGCTACAACCCTCAAAAAATTGCGAATTGTAATGGAAGAAGTCGACTATCATTACCTCCAGTCGACTCGCGTGTTGCGGCACAGCGAGGAAAAACGAAAATCTGATCCGAAATAGGTTCAGTCGCTCTAAAGCAAAATTTCAAGGTGTGAGGTTGGTGGTCTATTCTTAGTCCTGTCAATCCTCTTTTGTAAATCTGTGTAATGCATTGTATGGTAGGTCGATCCAGTTCCGTTTAGCAGTGACAATTACTGATTTGAATTTTGATTTTTCTACAGTGATAACATTGCATTTTAAAGGTATTTTGTGCAAGTTGTTAATAGCTGGAAATATATATGGAAATGTTATGTTATTGTTATCATTTGAGAATAAATTTT